TTTTCACGGTGTATAATTTACCTTTTCATCATTACAAGAATAACACTGATAATTTTACTGATATATACTTATATCTGAACATATAAGCTTAAACTCCAAGTAGTTCTCTATTATATCGTGAAACAAATTAATAAATCAATTAATTACTTTCTAATTACCCTATCTCTAGTATACAAATGACTTCAGGATCTTCAAAACAACAAAACGCTGGACCACCCAACACCATGACGACAACTAACTTAACGTCTAAGTCAGTACCACAAAGTGATAGCCAAGCCACAGTTCCCACTACACAACTCATGTCTCTCAAACGTGTCCTGGGGATTCCTGGTGCTTCGTCTATGGTGGCAGGAATCATGATTGGTTCGGGGATCTTTATATCAGCGCGTTGGGTTCTGGTATACAGTGGATCGGTTGGTTTGGCGTTCTTTGTATGGCTTTTATGTGCTGTGGTGTCCTTCATCGGAGGACTGTGTTGGGTAGAGCTGGGATTAACCTTTCCCAAGTGTGGTGGTAGGTTTGTCTATCATAATATATAACGCAAATAACAAATCGCCAAGTCAATAATTCATTTCAAATATTTCAAATTCAAATGCAATCATTAGTTTTAAATTATCTGCAATGTCATCTGCTAAATTACTTTCCATCTTTATATTATTTAGGTGAATATATTCTCATTAAACACACTCTTGGATCAGTTCCTGCCTTTGCCTTGATATGGCTTAAAACCCTCATCACCACGCCCTGTTCGAAAGCAATCGGTCAACTCACATTTGCCCATTATGTTCTCGGGCCATTCTTTCCCGGCTGCACCGACCGAGAGGACCTGGTACCTCTTCTGAAGATCATAGCAGTCTGGTCCATATGTAAGTTTCTTGGGCAACTGCAGGTTATTGGTGGAATTGAATGTGTTAAAAACACCTGCATTTGCAGTACAGTGAATCTACTTCAGGTGTGAGCGTGACAAGGAAATTCGGGAGGAATTCTCCAACGTCCTGAAAAATAAATAAAATATTTGATGGCAGATTTGAACAAAAAAATCACAATTAATTAGATATAAGTTAATTCGTGTTGACGAAGAAAGTTTAACGTTGGTTATGTTGCATGTTTTTTTTAAAATGGGCCTTTAACTTTCCCGAATTCACTTGATGAATCAATGCAGACTTCGTCAAATTAAAACAGGTTGTTTCTGATAAAATACAGCAGCAATGTCCTGTTTCGTGATTAGAATAGACCATTTTTAATTCATAGATAACGCCGTGTTCTTAGTTCTATTACACTCATTTACTCAGGGTTACTCACTTCAGTGTCAAAATATACACAAACTGATACCATTGGTAAAGTAAAGAATACGCAGCTTCAACAATACAAACGTTTTCTTGAAATTACACAGACTTTTACTGGAAAGCATGAATATTTTGGCTTTACGAAATCAGTCGAGGATAATCCTTAGCAACAGGAAAACTCTAAGCTGGATTGAATGAACTAACAGGCCTATTTGACTATTGCTTATTTTTCCCATTTCACAACAAAAATATGATTTTATTCATATTGGAACCTTTTGGCATTACAAGTGCACAACCTAAAGAAATGGTATGAGAAATTGTGCCCAYGTTATAGATTTCTCAAAGTTTTCTTAATGAAAGAAAATACCCAAGGGAATGGTACAATGTGTTCACAAATGAAAGAAATAATAATAAGCTCGAGCTGAATGGGTCTGTTTTCTTTAAAACCAGGTACCTTATGTCTGCTCAACTGCCTGAGTGCTAACTGGGCAACTCGTGTTCAGATAGTCTTCACGGCTGGTAAATTCCTTGCTCTGATGTTACTGATTGGTACGGGGTTTTATAGTCTTGCTCAAGGTTAGTATATATATACACAAGTGAATACTACATATTTTAGGAATCCAGGCAGCAGATTCCATATTTCGTTTCCAGGCCACACATCAAGCTTCAAGGACTCGTTCAAAGACACCACGACTCAGATAGGAATGGTTGGACTTGCTTTTCAGAGTGGACTCTGGGCTTACGAAGGATGGTACGTATATAATAGTAATTCACTTCACGTATTTGCATAGTTTTTCCATGAGCAAATACACTCCATTGGGAAGGGAGGCGAGGTCCAGAAAAGGATCCAGGGCTAACTCAAGTGCCTCTTGCTTGTTATTGTTTTCTTTGGTATGACAGTAGCCAGTTGTAGGATATGTACTGAACCTAAAAGTACTCCAAAGTACTCCAGTGTTTTGACAAGTATCTATAAATCTCTTGAAGCATTTGAAAAATTAAGTACAAGTGTTTGTTAGGTTGTGCATGTTCAGTGATATGTGTGTGCGTAACTAAACCCCAAATCTAAATTCAACATTGTAACTGTGTAGCTGTAGAATACATTCTCTAAAACAATCTCTGTCTTGAGGTTAAAAACTGCACAACCAGCAGCCAAAAAAACCGTGGCCGCCATATTTGACGATATAAAGAAAATCTTTCAACAAATATTGCTTTGTACGCGTCAGGTTACCAGCCCCAGAAGATTTGTCCGAGAGACACTGGGTACTATTGCGATAGAACTAAGATAGTTAACACAGCACGTGAACTTTAGTTATGAAATTTAGTTACCAAGAGGAATATTAGAGATTGTTATTGAGTTTTTCTTTTGGATTCGATAGGAACACATTCGGTAAGTCTATTATAGTTTGTATTAGATCACACAGATTGATTCTAAGAATCTCTTTGATTGTATTTATAGTGAACCGCATCGATACACGACACATCGACTCATCAACACAGCACACTTTCGAGAATTTCTATCTTATGGAATAATAACGACACGAGAGATAATGAATCTTCGTTTAATCTGATTAAGAAATAGATGTATGTATGCGAATGCAAGTTTCATGAAGGACCCAATAAATATAGATCGATGAAGGCAGAGTTAATTCCGATGAAAGGCAAGAATATTTTCCAAGGCAAGAATATTTTTTGGTTTTATTTAACCAAACCGAAACCTAGAACACCGTCCATAAATATTATCAGACACGGTTTTGCTGAGTTACACTTTATATTAAAGAACAAGTAAAGTCGTCTTTAAGCTGGTGTCTTCGTTTGATTGACAGGGATAGCCTTAATGACGTCACTGAAGAAGTTAACAACCCCAAGAGGTAATCTTATGCAGGTTTGGTGTAGCTTGAAATGAATATGAAACAAAGCGTTTTTGTTGTTGTTGTTATTTGATGTGGCTGTTGTGCTTTTCAGATTTATAACTTTTTCTACCGTTCTTTCACTCAAAGACGACACACTAAACACTTCGTATAGAAGAAATAAAAAAAGACATATGTATACCAAAAATAGTTGGTATAAGCTTCCTCAGAGGGATGCCGACTCCGCGGTAGTTTTGTTTCTACTCGTATTAAACATGGAAGGGAGGTGGGAAGGATACGCTGCCACTCACTTCATATCCGTCAGTTTTGGTTTTTACGTAATTTACAGAAACATGCCATGGTCAGTTCTCGGTAGCGTTGTCCTGGTAACCTGTTGTTATTTTCTGGTTAATGTGGGATACTTGGCTGTTTTGACTCCACAAGAATTGAAGGAATCCCCAGCAACTGCAGTGGTGAGTTCGATGCTAATTACTATGACCACCATGACTACCATCTATTGACTAGGAATGAGGAAGATCCAGCTGTTCTAAAATATTGACGTAGAAATGTTGTCAACTGCAAAACTGAGGTGTCATGAGAACCTGCAAAAAATTACCCTGTGAGCAGAGGATTTTTTAAAACCCTCTCCCATCTCCCAACGGTGTGGAAGAGGAAAAAACCCTCTGCACTAATCCTGCCGAATTTTGTTTGAGCATGCGCTAGGGATTATCCAGAGCTCTGGATAATCCGATTTTCAAAACCTGTTTTGTAACCGGTTTCGTTGAGCGCGCATGTTTTGAGCTAGAATCTAATGACCAAACTTTAGTTCGCATTATCTTCAATGAAGTCCGATCTAAAGAGTTGTATTTTTTGCGTTGTTGAAAGTTTTCTTCCTGCAAACTTCTCTCTAACTACCCAACAGTATCAATCTGTGGAGAGCTTTATTACTGGTAACGACACTTTCTTTTCTTTACCGACTGGGCACGGTAAATAGCTGATTTATCAAGCCATGATTCCTGTTGCGAAGGAACTCGCTCAACATGGTTGGGATGTTATTGCGGCTGAAGTAATGTGGCCAATTCAGTACTGTGAAAGTACTGTGATTTTACTACCATATAAACGTACGTTATTTATATACACCTGTCGTTGCTATATAACAAAAATGCTATAAACATGCTTTTCCCCACTCTGGATCTTAACATGCAAGGAATTCCTCTTATGTCGGCAAATTACTTACTATCATTCAAATACATAATTGCATTATTGGTACTTTAAATCTTTTTTTTCCTCTTTTTTTTTTGCGTCATAAATTGGCTTTATTTTTATCAGTCTGTAGTTCAACGTGTGTACGGTTTCCAAGTGGCATGGATCGTACCCGCGTTAGTAGCGTGTTCTATTTTTGGCTCTGCAAATGGGAGTTCTTTCTCTTCAGCAAGTTAAGTATAATACAAGTCTATAAATACACTAATGCATTAGCAATGTGTGAGTAGAGACATTGAGTAGTGATGGTCAGAACACCTGGTCAGACTCATATTGATCTTCTTTATAATGGGTCATCATTTTTAATCTTCAATCTCTTTCTCGACAGGGTGATGCTGTCTGCAGCCCGCGAAGGTCATCTTCCAGCAGTCCTGGCCATGATTCACACCAATAAGAGAACGCCCATTCCTGCTTTGCTGTTATCAGTATGAATAGTTAACATATTAATTCAGAACTGAGATTTTGTAGAGAAAACGGTCTTAATAGCCCACTTCCGAGATATGCTTCGCTTGTCACGCACAAAGGTTTCAGTATGAGTCTACGTGCTAAATTAAATTAATTCTTACCGCCTGTCACGAATGACTGAGCATTTAGCACGTAGCCTTATACYGAAACCTTTGTGCGTGACAAGCGAAGTATATCTCGGAAGTGGGCTATTCTCCGGTTAGTTCTCCTTGCTTTGAGCCTCGTGCCAAAGTCCTTGGGAATGTTATTGTTCTGTCGCCCAGTCGAGCGTCTACAGGCAAACACATTCTCCTATTAGTTCTCCTTGCTTTGAGCCTCGTGCCAAAGTCCTTGGGAATGTTATTGTTCTGTCGCCCAGTCGAGCGTCTACAGGCAAACACATTCTCCTATTAGTTCTCCTTGCTTTGAGCCTCGTGTCAAAGTCCTTGGGAATGTTATTGTTCTGCTGCCCAGTCGAGCGTCTACAGGCAAACACATTCATGAGCGTATAAACTATTCATGTCGTACTTGCAATTTCTTCATATTTCTTGTGCTTGTAGACTATCACGGCATGCTTATTCTTGATACCAAAAACTAGTACCGTTCAGAGTTTGATGAAAGTCTTCAGCGCTGCTGCATGGCTGACTCACACATTGACGGTGATTGGTTTGCTGTGGACGAGATACAAAAAACCTGATTTACCTAGACCTTTTAAGGTAAGAGAGATTTGAATGTATATGTTCAGGGATGTCCAAGGAATCCTTTGGCAAAAACTATGACAAGACCATGTGCAACAATAGGACGTTTGCATGATGGCGTCATTGAATTCTACTACCAGACTCCCTTGCACACTTTCTTTTGTTCAGTTAATTGTCCTATTTCATAATGACGTCACATCAAAACAAACTATTGTTTAACGCTAGGGATCATGGTCGCTGGATTGGGATGGAATGACAACAACACATCTTAATTCACAATAAAATTTGGTTTATGAGCTGGTGTAGGCAAGAACAACTAAATATTACGCTAAATATCTCGAAAGAAGAGAATTCAGCTTAAATTTAACCTAAATTTCTATCATTTTAGCCGATGTAAACAAACCGTGACGTTATGCAAATTTAAATAAGAAAGAAAATTCGCGAAGCATTTTGGTAGTGGGAGGCAAATGACGCCATCATGCAAGCGTCCTATTACATTGTTAAACATAGTTTCTTCTACCGTTAAAAATGACTCGTTTCTACCATCGATTTAATCATCTCTGGGACTAGCTAAATTGCGAATCTTTTTTTTTTTTCGTCTCTGAAATAAAAGGCACTTCATTATTTCTTTCATTGCCATCAGGAACATTGGCTACTATGAATAGTCTTAGCTTAGATGGTGTGTCTCAACAATTAACAATATTAAAGGAACAACAAAACATTCCTTACTTGTATTCAGATATTGCGAACTATAACAATCCTATATTAATCTCTCGTCGCAGCTTCCAATCTTCATCCCCGTGTTGTTTCTCTTCATTTCTCTGTACCTCACCATCACACCGTTCGTCGACGCACCAGTGGAGACGTCAATTCCTCTTGTGTTTATATTTCTTGGAATTCCTATGTACCATTTCTTTATTTACTTCAAAGCAACACCGCGATGTATCGTGATTTGTTTTGGTAAGCAGTCTCATTTCCTTGCCACTTATTAGTGGCTATTTAGAGGTTAGAGACTGATGTGAGTGTTTCGTTTACGAATACACACGCGGATCGCACAACCAACGAGAATTTTCCCAATACTGCAAGTGACGGAGTAAAACACAAACTTTAAGTTCTTAACCCTTTTAATATTCAATCTGAGCACACTGCAATACACGACTTTTGCCGTTTTTGACGACGACAGACAAAAAGATATGAGCAAAAATATCAATATCACGACTAAATTAAAAGAAACAAAACGAATAAAGAGGCCCAAAATTAGTTAAATACATTGCAGAAATTTAAATATTTTTTTTTTACAAACAGTTTCATTCAATATTTGAAGAAAACTCTGACAAAGCTACCCACACAGCACAAATACGTGACGTCCAAGTTAAAGCTGTGTGTTTTCGTATTTCAAAACATCGTAAAACACCCAGAATTTTATTGTTTTCACACATTGAAAAGGGATGCACTCCAGTTAATTTGTCTTTTCGAGCTTGATGGTATTGTTTTCTGATCAGGTTCAGTTTAACATATTTTTATCAATCAAATCGCTAAATCTTTCAATGGCACAAATCGTTATGTGTTATTATCTCCAAACAAAGCAAAATCAAGCGCGCGCTTGGATTTTGGACAGTTAATAAATATCTAATATTAATTTATGATAATCTATTGATCTATATTTGTTTTAGAATGGATTTCATTCAAGACACAGCAAATATTGAACGTCAACTATCCAAGCATTTCCATGGAAATAAATGAATGATTTCTGTGCGAAATGGATGGGTATCCTGTGTTATTTATCACGTGACCCCATAAACACGAAGTGTGAGAAAGTGACAGAGAGCGAGTGTTGTCAATGTTATCGAATGAATCAAAGATTAAAACGTCGTAGTTAATTTTACTGAAAAACAAAGCGAAGAAGTCGAGCAAGGTCTCTTTTTGTTCATAATGTGTAAATCACTCAATAGTCCGTTACCCAAACTAACCTTTGATGCCAGTCTGGCAACGAGTAAAAAAAGCCTATATAACGATGGCAACAGCTTATTCATTTATTTATTTTATGATTCGCCCGAGGGCAGGTGGTAATACAGGACTCTAGGTTCCCTATATAATATTAACACCCAAACCCAACCTCAAATACCAAAAAAAAGTGGAAAACTAGTCCCAACCCAAAATACACATTAAAAGAATTTTAGATATAGGAAAAGGAAAATATGRCGCCGATTAGTAACTACAGATACATGTGCGATTGACTCTACGACGTTTAGGACAGCAGTGTGGATATCGCGATGATGGGTGCGCAATCGATGATGGGATAGRGCCGGGGAGGCATAGGAGCACAGGAGGACGAGCGAGCGAGCGACTCCTCTCGCATGCGATATGCGACGCCGGGGACAGTGAGTTTCGAACTCGGGTCGCATCCTCGAGAGGCGGTCGCTCTCGCCGCTAAGCCACCCGTGCTCCCCGCTTTGCTTTACAGATTTTTGAGAATATTAAAGCTGCTTGTTATATTGATGGTGTCGCAATCATGGTCAGTACGTATATGCATGCCAATCATCGAATTCTTGTATTCTTCTATTCTTTGATGTGAATAATGACGCTGCGTGGACCAACAAAACTCGCATCGCACGAGCCTCATTTACATAAATTAACAAAACTTTAATGGTTAACGATCTGTTTCTTTTCCTTTATTGTGAGATCTTTAGAATCTTTACGAATACTGCGTGTAAAGCACTGGCAAATCATGATTGACTTAAGAATAGCAAACAAACTAGTTCAAATCAAAAAGTATCGCTAGCTTTCTTTCTGTGCTCTAAAACTATAAAGAACGTAAGGGAATGTTAATATTCTAAGAGATTCGTCTGCGATAATGTTTGAAATCTAACAAGGTTTTGGAAATTTACATTCGCATACCCTGATAATGATATCAAGGTTCGTAAAAACTGTATAGTCGTTCTTATTTCGATATCAAATTAATCCCCCYTTTTTTTTTGTTGAGTCAATTTATCTAGAAGTCACCTTGCATTTAAATGTAGGGGGGAGGGGAGGGGGTAATTTTAGGCTTCAAGTTCAAGCCAAGTCAAGTGAAGTACATATTTTTTCCCCAAGTGCCCTTGGTTTGCTCTTTTAAAATAAATGCTCTTTTTTTTGGCGCTCACTGTTTGAATACGAAAAGAATTCCCTCTTAATGTTTTTATTTGTCTATAAAGACTACATAATAGTTTAATTTCAACTTTTTACTAATTTTGAAGACATTTTTCTCGTCGAAAACTAAACATTTTTCTCTCACATTGAAGCCACTACAACCCTGACCAATCAGGAATCGCATGCTAAGAATAGCTCAGGCTTGCGCGCGGAGCTAAAAATAGATTTTCAAAAGACTTACATGCTTAGAGACCTATGCATGGGAGATGTGCTCTCTTTTGTAATATTCTCTTGCTTTCTTACAATATCTCGACTTTCGACTTTCAATGTCAGTACTTTATCTCTTTTACGTTGGTAATATTCCTTTGCCCACATTTTCAAGCTTTGAATTCATAGTTATAGTTTTACTTAAAAAACGAAAGATAACTACAGATAATCCAGTACAATATCGGTTTAATGAAATTTACCTTAGATGTCTTTCATTAAAATCCAAGTTTTCGAGATTTCCGAACTTTTTAAAGACAAATCAACACCATAAGACACACTTGAAAACTAGGCTATCACAGGTATCCCAGTAAAAATAGTTTAAAATTTACATCATTATAATGAATGCTCAGTCCGATTAGTTTTATTAGACGTGAAACTATGAATAAATTATACCATTCCTGAAAGATAAAATTAAAATATGAAAGTCCTTAAAATTGCCATCATTTTTGCTATGTTTTTTGAACATACATGTGATATAATAATATAATATATGATAATATAACTAACAGGTCACGTGTCCCTAACTTTAGATATTAAAAGAGCAGCTCAACATTAGTGACAGGGCGAAGTTTCAGCTCATAATATTGACTATAGGATAAATTGCATTAAACATAAAATCGAACATTTAAATCCTTATATAAAATGTTTGATCTAAAACTCAATGCCATTTATCCTTTTTGGCTTATTATGGGCTATAACTCCTAATATCGAAGAGCACTTTTCGTTTGTGATGTTCATTTTGACAAAGCCGCTCTTTTTAAGGGAGGTATGTCACGTGACCTGTTAGTGCAAGTCCTCTACTGAAAAAGTACATTTATACAATTTCGTTTCTTCGCAGGGTTACATTCGCTTCGTTAAGCAGATTACCTCTTTAAGAATACTACATATTTACCTAGACATGTTTCAAAATAGATATGGACTGTCATAGTTTGCTATTCCAGAAGAAACACTCCCGTCGTCATACTTGTTGCTTTTCGTACGCATTGTGTGCCCTACTTCTCTGTTGGCAGTTAATTTCTCCCCATCGCTGTAAAAAAAAAAAAAAAAAAAAAAAAAAGCTATGTTATTATGGATCGACATAAGCCGCTTGACTCTATAAGAATAATAAAGTATAGCATATTCTTGTCCATTCTCGTAGTCTAAGACGATTAGGGAGGTTAAGTTGAATATGCTTTGGTAGATTCATTTTATCCTGCAGTTAGCGTTAGGCCTGAATCCTACGAGCAACGCAAATGCAAGCAAGTTGTTAAAGTACGCATGCGCACAAAAATAATTGCGTCACTGCAGTTGAAGTTTAATTTTGCTATTCATTCGCTTATGCATTTGCGGTACTTCGTTCTTGTGAACCAGGCTTTTTAAAGTATACGCAAAATTACAGAGAATAAATAACTGGAAACGTCCTTGATACTGCTGAAAAAAATAAATACAGGCTTAGACATACGACATTGTCTATTCTTATTTACAAAAGTATGGACATGAGATCTATTGCTTACACGATGTAGGTCTTCGAATCATTTAATGTGTTAAGTAAAGCGCACTCTTAAACATTATAGCTAAAGGCTAGCTATTTTGAACTTACGCAATGTATACCCCGACAACGCTGAATTCAGGGACAACATCAGTAAAAGCAGGTTCGCTATTTTCTGGCCGCACAATGTAGTTCTTCACTGAAGGACTTCGTATTTTGTCCATTAAAATAAACTGCGATCTATCTTCCTGGCTTAGCGTAGTCTTGATGTCTTCACCAAATATATTGTGCCCTATTGATTGATAATAGAAAATGTTTTTATCTTTGGCGTAATGTTTTCCCATTTCTGACCACGTGTCATTTTAAAAAGTGATCGTTTATTTGTTTCATGGTTTTGTTCTAAAAGACACGACATAAATATGGATACAACGCAAACAAAGAATCTTATTCTATTGGAAATGACACGTGGTTTGAAATGGAAAAACATTATTCACAAGCTGAATAGGACTATGCACATTTGTACACGCGGTAAAATGAATTGCCCATCTTATGTACTGTTTGATAAACGCAGGAGTGTTTTATCGGGTATAAAACACGCGGTACGGGGCGTAGCCGAGTGTTTTTAGACCCGATAAAACACGATCTGTAAGTTTATTCAACGGCTTAAAAAACTGATGACATATGTTCTCATATTGTACTGAGTTCTTTACGAAATGAACCAAGTTTGATAGAGAAAATCCAAGTTAAAGTTTATGCAAATGAAGACGAATCTATATCAGATATAAAACCTCCTTCGTGGTCATGATTTCTATTGTGTTTCCTTCATGAATTATTAATGAGTTTTTTAATTGAGTTTACAATATAAATTGAAGCCACAATATTGCGCTAACCTTCCTTCGAGAGGTACTTTATATTGTTTTTATTTTTATTTTTATGCTGTACAGCACGCTTCTAGGACTGTTTAACCATTGGCAAGTAAGGAAGTGGATTGAGTCAATCTGCAGCACAAGCAAAGACAAATCCCTAACCAACACATCAAAATATTGCCACCTAATTCCACGATTAACCCCGTCAGTAAACCTTTTTGTACCAACTTTTAGAGTGCACAACATATATATATGATACACAGCCAAAGATATATTGTCTAGTTGCACTGAGTAACATATATCATAGTGACTGGTTCACAGACATATGGTGACTGTGCACTCCATTTTCAAGTTCTCCGGCATTTTTTTAGGGATAGCCTCGATTTTGTATTGAATACTACACAATATGTCCCATTGATGATCCGTGGAATTTGTGAATATTTAGACACTAGTAAGAAGTTAACCCTGAGTAAATGAGTCTTTAATCAAGGAACACAGCGAACTGGAACTCGAAAAAGATCTACAGAGGCTTTGCAACATCACGTGATGGCAGCCATGACAGGAGGCACAACAATAGAGTCGTTCTCCCCTGGGAAACTGAATTCTTTCTCATGTAAATCACATTAAATCAGATTCAATGGTTTCTGCCTCCTGTCATGGCTGCCATCACGTGATGGTGCAAAGCCTCTATGACAACCAAGAAAGAGTCGTGTATTTGTTTTGCATTATTGTTACGAATTACCCAATATTGTCACGGTAAGCTCTTCGATAGAGGCTAGAGGCTAAATCATTATCGTTGAATATTCGAATTCCGAGAAGAGTATCTTACCTCCTCCTTCTCTCTGAGGCTTGAGAACAAACTTATCTGGATCGTCGAATGCCATTTTGACAGTCTGGTCACCTTCTGGTCCCTACATGGTAATAAATATTATAATTGCAAGCCAATGATACTGTTAAGTGTATATCGGTGCACTTAACAATTAAATGGTTAACTCTCTTGAATTTAAAAATGCTGTAGAAGCAGTCAGGCATTCCGAAATAATATAAATAAAACTTGTCTATCTCTGACTTAACATATTTAAGCTATTTAACTAAAACCACAAAATAAAACATGTAGCTCCTTATTCCTCCAAGGTTGCTTTACACTACCACACTACCAAGCTGTTTACTGATCAAAAACTGGTGAAACAAGTAAAGTGCATCAGATATCTAGGTGTATTTAGACTCTCATCTTTCTTGGAAAAATCATATTCAACATATTGTCATGAAAATTAAGCGTAGTATCGGTGTACTATGCAAAATTCGCCATTATACACCTATATAACCATACTCAAACAACTATATTATACTTTAATTTATCCCCACTTGACTTATGCTGTTATAACATGGGGAAACACCTATCCATACTTTAATTTATCCCCACTTGACTTATGCTGTTATAACATGGGGAAACACCTATCCATCTAGACTTACACCTCTTATTACACTTCAAAAGAAAGCCCTAAGAATAATAATCTTTTCTGACTTCAGAGCTCCTTCAAGTCCACTTTTTCAATCTCTGGGAATACTAAAACTCAATAATATAATTTATTTGAATAATTGTATATTTATGTATGATTTTCAC